GCAACCTCTAAATCTTGGGCTTAAGCAATTCTCTTGCCTCAGCCTCCCAAGTAGCTGGGATTACAGGCACCCACCACAACGCCTGGCTATTTTTTGTTGCAGTTGTCATTGTTGTTTAGCAGGCCCTGGGCCAGTTTCAAACCTGCTGGTCTTGGTGTAAGTGGCTGGCGCCCTAACCACTGAGCTACGGGTGCAGAGCCCCTGCTGCGGAATTCTACGTGCTGCGAATCTCACAGTATGTGCTGGTTTACATCTGGCTTCTCTCAGACCATCATTTTGAGGGACACCCATATTGTTATATGAGTAACAGTAATAGTTTTTCCTCTTGGTTTCTGAGATGTACCCATTGTATGGATAGGCAGCCTCTGTGTAACTCTTCCCCTGTTGATGGACATTTGGGTTGTTTCCAGTTTGGGACTATTTTGAATAATACCATTATGAACATCCATGTATAAGCCTTTGTGTGGACATGTGTCACTTATTTTGGTGTTATTTATTTATTTGGAGACAGAATTTCACTTTGTCACTCAGGCTAGAGTGCAGTGGCATTATCACAGCTCACTGCAACCTCAAATGCTGCTTGGGCTCAAGCGATCCTCCTCCCTCAGCCTCCCAAGGAGCTGGGACTACAGATGTGAGCCACCACAGCAGGCTAAATTTTTTGTATTTTTAGTAGGAATGAGGTTGCTCAAGCTGGTCTGCTTGCTGCTCTGCTTGCAAGTTGCTAAGCTGGTCTCGAACTCCTGAGCTCAAGGGATCCTCCTTCCTTGGCCTCTCAGAGTTCTAGGATTACAGGCATGCGCCACCTCATCTGGCCTAAAATTTTTTATGGAGATGGGGGTCTCACTATGTTGTGCAGGCTGGTCTTGAACTTCTGGCTTTAAGAGATCCTCCTGCCTCAGCCTCCCAAAATACTGGATTTCAGGTCTGAGCTACTGCACCCAACCTGTTTTTATTTATTTGGGGGAAATACCTAGAAGTAGCTAAGCTATATAGAAAATATTTTCAACCTTTCTAAGAAACCACAACTTTCCCAAAGTTTTTGCACCAATTTCTACTCCCACCACGCACATGGACGTGTGTTCCATGTCCTCACCAATTAGTATCGCCATCTGCTCATTTCAGCCATTCTATTGGGTACATAGTAGAATCTCATTGTGGTTTTAATTTGCATTCCTGCATTGGGCAGCCTGTGGACTCTATTTTCTTTTCTTTCTTTTTTTTTTTTTGAGACAGTGCCTCAAGCTGTCCCCCTGGGTAGAGTGCCCATGGCCTCACAGCTCACAGCAACCTCCGACTCCTGGGCTCAGGTGAGTCTCCTGCCTCTGCCTCCCAAGTAGCTGGGACCATAGGCGCCCGCCACAACACCCGGCTATTTTTTTTTTTTTTTTTGGTTGCAGCCATCATTGTTGTTTGGGGGGCCCGGGCTGGATTCGAACCCGCCACCTTAGGTGTATGTGGCTGGCGCCTTAGCCGCTTGAGCTACAGGTGCCAAGCCGTGGGCTCTATTTTCTTTTGTGCAATATCTCTGCAACTTGTTCCATAGTTTTCAGTTGGGTTTTTGGTGTCAGGGTCAGTGGTGCCTCCTGTTGGATTCTCTAAATTTCCCTGGCTCCCAAAATGTCAAACAGAAGGCAGCTTTGCTGCTAATTGGGGATTATCAAGCAAATTTTTCACAAAGAGAAGCAACCTTCAAACCGTCACTCTCAGCCCAGAGCTCCTTTGTGTGCTCTGGGGCCTGGGGGACCTCTGTGCAGAGTTTTTACAGCAAAGCCCCAGAGCCCAGGCACCTGCCCCACCACTCTGTGGTCAGCATTGTCAGCTCCCATGAGCACCTAGAGCTTGTCCCTCAGGAAATGACCTCATGGGACCTGGGAGGCTGCCTGACACCCTTGGAACCCCTTTAGTCTCACAGTTTGAGCAGTTTCCTCTGTGATGGGTGCTTGGTGTGGGGCAGGGAACCCACTGCTTTGTCTTGTACAGTCCCTGACTTTACTGTGGAATGGCCAGACTGCTCTGAGACTGCGCTTATCACTGACGGTGCTTTGCCAATAGAGGGCAGGTGTACGCACAGGCCCAAGGTACCGGGCAGTGCCCGAGCCTGGCACCAGCTCCCTGATGAGCTGCCCACCTGCCCAGAGCACCATGAGACCCTCCTACTGAGAGACAGAGAACTGTCAAAGGCACAACAATGGATATATTGGTCGCTTATTGGCAAAGTGGCACTGTTTCAGCTGGGACACATCTGTCTGTGCAAATGAGACAGAGAGGGGTCCCAGACTGAGCTGCCGAGCCCCAACCCCCTGTGGGGAGACCTGGAGAAGGCTGGCTCAGGCCCAGGGACCAACAGGGTCAGGAGATGCACATTCATCCTAGGAAAATACCTCCGCCCAAGCTGGGCCCCAGGAATGTGGAATGTTCCGGGAGCCCTTGGAAGGTAGACTTCCTGGGACGTCAGCTATGGAGTCAGGGAGGGGTACAACTGTGAGGCTCATTGGTGACAGGAGTGGATAAAGTGAGCACCATATGGGAGAACTGACTGTGCACATAACGGTGAGTGCGAGGGAGAGACTGGGGTGGTGGGAACTGTGGCATCCGGAAGATGATGCCTGGTTGGACATGGAGGACATGGCTCTTCTGGACTCCAGCCTGAGGAGCCTCCTGTTGCCAGGGCTCCTATGTTTTAAGATATACTCCATTATGTATCTCTGAAATGCTAACAATCTCTCCTTTTGTATGTTTAAGGAGCTAATTCAAAATGAAAATAAATGCTTTCCAGGACACCCTGTGGGGGTCAGATTAGAGGCTGTGAGTCTCTTGTCTGTCCATTTCCTGCACGCTTCTCTCTGCTCAGGGGTGACTGTGCTGTAACCTTTCCCTCCTGCTCCTCATCTCTGTCTATCTCTTTCTGTCTGTCTGGCCTGGTCACTCTATCTGGTCACAGATCTGAACCAGCCTGCCCACCTGCCCGAGTCACCCATCTCTGGGCTGCACTGCACCCCCAGCAGCCTTGGGCCTCTGCTCTGACATTTGCTTCCATCATAGTGGCCACAACCCCACTTGCCCTGCCTGTCCTGGCAGACCCTGCTCTTGTGGCCCAGCATGGGCTCACCTGATGGGTGCAGACTCATCACCATGGTCCAGCCAGTCCTGTGGCGGGATGATGTACATGCACCAGAGGCCCCAAGTGTAACCGTGAGCGGCATTGGCGTACTGCTGCACCTCAAACGTACTGTACTTGATGTTGTCAATGGCCGGCAGGACAATCCGACGGTGGTCCTCCTGGATCCGCGTGAGGGCAGGCTCAGCCCTGCAGGAAGACACACAGGCCTATGGAAACAGGCAGGGGCTCGGGGCCTTCCCCACTCCCTGGGAGGGACCAGCTCTCCCAAAGGAGGGAAGTGCAAGGCCTACAGTGGGTCAGACGTCCAGCTAAGGGGTCTCCACAGGTTTGGCCACATCTGCCCTTGAGCTCACAGTTCAGCCTCTCTTTCAGCCCATCCCCACCTCTCTCCCCTCCTTTCCCACACCTATGGAAGGCGCGTTCCTTTGCAAGTATTATATGAGGATGGATCTATTATGTGCTACATTCTGCTTTAACAAATTGGAATAGATTCCCAGACTAAAAAGGAAAAGCAATCCATGCCCAGGAAGGCTACAACAGGCTACAAAGAACAGCTACCAGGTATTGTTATGCAGTAAAGAACCTACCCCAAAGTGTGCAGCAGTCCTGACTGGGGAGGGGAAATAGACAACAAGTATAAATAAATAATGGGACATGTCAGAGGTGGGTAGGCATCATGGGGAAGAAAGCTGGCAAGTGGGGTGGTCAAGAGCTTCAGATTAAACAGGGCATCCAGTTTGGGCTGTCCCGGCAGTGATGGGAAGGACGCGGAGGGTGCCAGCAGGTGTTAGGAGAAGCCACCCCACACAGAGAGAGGATCTGCACTGTAACCCTGGCATGTGATTTGGGGCCCTGGTCATGTGGCTGGAGCAGACAGACTGAGCGGTGATGAAGCCAGAAGTGGTCAGTGATGAAGACAGAAGAATACGGCCAGAGGAACAGGAATGTTCCACAGGGACCTCTGTATGGTCCTTACTCTTAGGAACTTTGCTTCTCCTGCAAGGGCAAGAGGTCTATGGAGCACCTGCCATCCAGGCTGGAACTCAGCCCAGCTGACCCACTGGTGCCCTAATGCAACAGTGAGGGACAGGCGGGGCCCAGAGCAGATTTGGGTCCAGCTAGGGGAGGGGAGAGGTCCAGACCCTGCCAGAGAGACCACATGGCTGCTCTCATCCCTTCGTCCCTCCTTCTGAGCAAGAACCCTGGCATTTACCTGCCTTTCTGCTTTGTGAGGAGGATTAATTAATTACTGTTAGAAAAGTGCTTTAAAGATGAAAAGCTCTTCGCAAATTCCATATCTGCTAACAAGGCAGGATCTTCTGCCGAGGCGATTCTGGGAGGGCACGGCTATTTGCAGATGGATAACTGGGTCTTCACTTGTGAAAATTAAAGTTGTAGCCCTTTAAAATTGCATTTTGATGTGATGGATTCATGGCTTTCCCAAACACCCTCCACACTTCCAGGATTGTATGCTACATCAGAGGGAATGGAAGGTCACCAAGTACTGTTGTCCAGTGCACAACCTATACAACAGTTTGGAGTGACTCTGGCGGGGTCAGATGGGATGTACGATGTCATATAGCTAATGACATCACATGTTGGAAGATGACAGATATCATGGGAAAAGAAGAGTTGCCTCAGAGACTGGCAGAGAAGAGAGAAGTGGGTGACAAGGAGGAGGCAAAGCAGAAAGAAGCAGAGTCTCACTGAGAACAACTCGTGGGCCTGGCTGGCTGAGACACCTGGGAAGCGCTTGCACTGGGGCAGAGGCTCCCTCTCACAGCAACACCTGCCCAAAGGTGTCAAACCATGGTCTTTGAGAGACTCCAAAAATGCCAGATCACCACTCAACCCAGCGGGAGACCTTAGGACCACACGCACACACAGTGGGATAGCCCAGGTGGCCTGAACCAACTGCCACAGCTCCCTGGTCTCTGCACCACTGGCCCATTTTACTCAGCCATAAACCCCCTCTGTGCAACAGCCACAGCCCTGTGGTTTCCCTCCAGGAGAGCATCACAGCTAACATTTTGGTTTAGCTTCAGAGTATAAAAAAATGAGCCAGCAGAGATGATATAAAAGACCTTGAGTTTTAGTTTCTCTAGAAAATGGGGCAAAATGGGCACAAGGGTCTTCCCTATGGCTCAGCTGACAGTGCTGGGGCCCAGCCCTAGTATAGGTCCCTGAGGCTACACCTCCACAATGTATCAGTCCTGGGGCTGGAGATGGGGTAGTCCTTACTTACCCACAATGGGGTTCTTGTGATAGACAAGAAGGGAAAAAACAGAAATGTGAGGAGGCCATGTGGGGACAAGGCAGAGGCTAGAGCTATGCAGCCAGAGGCCAAGGGACCCTGGAGGCCCAGCAGCTAGGATAGAGATGAAGGGGGGCCCTCCCCAAAGGAGAGGTCCATCTGGAGCCTGTGAGTGCAGCCTGGCCTGGAAGTAGGTGCACTTGTAATTAAGCTAAAGCTCTTGAGGTGAGATCACCTAGGCTTTAGGGTGTCCTTAAAGGAGAAAGGTAGGGGGAGGTTTGAGACTCAGGGAGAGGCCAGAGACCAAGCGTTCCTCAGCCCCAGCGGCTGGGAGGGCAGGAATGACCTTCCCCTAGAGCCTCTAGAGGACTCTCAGCCCCGGCAGACACCTAGATTTCAGACTGTGGCCTCCAGAACCATGATGGGCAAGTTTCTGTTGTTTTGAGCCCTCCCATTCCCCTAATGCAGGGCTTGTTAGGATGTCTGACCATGAGCTGCTCTCCACGCTCTGCCTCGTGGCTGAAGCCCATGCTCACGCCCCATGCGCCCAGAGCTCAGGCCCCAGTGCCTGGTACTTCTTTGACATGGATACTTGGTATCAGTCACACCCTCCAGGCTCCATCCACCACATGACCATGTTGAAACTACAAGGTGCCCCACGTGTGCACCTTCTGACGCCTCCTGAAGAAAAGCATTAAGGCTCCTGGGATGATCCCCTGCCCAGCCACTTGGCGGGGCCAGTGTGTCCTCCTTGCACACGTGCATCCCCTCAGCGAGGGTGTGCACATGCAGAACCCGGTGTTAGAAAGTGCTAAAAGTGAGACATTACAGAAAACCCCAGGAGCCACTAGCCTCTTTGCAGATCTCTGGGGTGCACCCTAAGTTCTGCCTGCATGGCCTCCTGCGTGCCCAGCTTCCGCAGCACCAGCTGCAAGGAAGTCCTCTCCAATACCTGGGGCAACACCGATTAGGGACTCGGCCTCCTCCTCGGCTGTGGTTCATTGGCTGGCCAAATGACACCATTCTTAGGCATAATCCATAGCCTCTGAGCATTGCAGCTTCTCCCAGTGTCCAAGGCACCCTGGGGAGGGGGCTCAAGGAAACTCCAGATCACACAAACCCTGCATTTCCCGTCATCTCTTGGGAGAGCTGACTTTGCTGGTCTGGAGAAAGAAGGGGCAGGTCACTGCCTGCAAGGTCAGCACAAGCCCGGGGCTGGAACCTAAGGATTCATGGAGGAGTGGGCACACCCCCAAGTCACCTTCACACCTACTTATTGAGTGACTGTGGAACCCTCACCCACACTTCTTCCCCCACACGAGAAGTGTAGACACTTTGATTTGGAGTTTTCCACAAGGATGGGAAACTGCCTCCCCCTCAACAAGCGGGTCAAACCTCTGGCCTGCTCAGAGCCGGGCTCTGGCCCGACAGGACCTGGCAGACCTCAAGTCCCAGGCTTGCCCCAACCACGTGCAGTTCCTGTTCTACAGTCCCAGCTACAGGTGTGGAGCCAGCCTCACACATACACGTCTAAAGGACACGTTTAGGGCACAGGCCAGGGCCTCCCCTCCTCGTAGTTTCTGTGTTCAGGAGCTGCATGTTAGGGGCCCCATGGTGGGACTTGGGGCTCTTGGTCCCCAGCTTCTGGGGGCAGGAGACCAGTCCGACCAAGACCAGCTGTCCAGCCTGCCCTGGCCCTTACCAGCCTGTGTTGAACTCAACGTGGGCATCAAAGAAGCCGACAACTGGGGCAGTGGCCACCTTCCACCCCTGAAGCCGTGCCCGAATCAGGCCTTCCCGCCGGCTGTTACGCACAATCTTCACGAGGCCTGGGTACCTCTTGTTCACATACTGGTCCAGGTTGAGCTTTAGTTCCACTGTAGGGACACAGACATGGGCCTGAGAATGTGGCAGAAAACTGGGGTTGACACACTGTGTGCCTGCGGGAAGCAAAGCTTCATGGATGCTTACAGAAGACCCACTGTAGCTGGACATGGCTCAGTGCACTGGGGAGCCACAGAGGTTCTGGCAGGAGAGACCCAGTGAACAGGAAACAAACAAACAACAGAGTGAGTGCTGCACAGACAGGAGATGGCAGGACTGAATCATTCAGCTATAAAAGGAAATGACATCCATTGACGAGAAATGGATAAACAAAACATGGTCCCTCCTGCAGTGGAATCCATTCAGGTTTAGGAAGGAAGGAGACGCTGGCACTTGCAACCACACAGATGGACCTGGAGGATGCTGTGCTAAGGGAGATAAGCCAGTCACAGGACAAGTGCTGTGTGATTCCATTTGCGTGCAGTCCCTAAAGCTGTCAACTCAGCTAGAGAAAGTGATGGGGGATGTGGGGGATGGTGCTAGGAATTAATGGGGATGGAGCACCAGCGTGGAAGGTGAGAAAGTTTTGGAGGTGGACAGTGGTGATGGTTGCACAATGTGAGTGCACCTAATGTTGCTGAATATACACTTAAAAGTGGTTAAAATGATAGATTTCACAATGTATATTTTATCATATTTTTTTTAAAAAAGAAATGAAGCACTAACACATGGTACAATGTGGGTGACCCTCCAAAGCCCAATGCTGAGGAACAGAAGCCAGACATGAAAGGCCACAGGCTGTGTGAGCCCACCTGCATGGACCATCCAAAGCAGGTGAGTCCATGGGGCTGGGCAGGGAGGGAGCAGCCTCATAAGGGAACACAGCTTCCTTCTGGGGCAATGGAGCCACTTTGGGACAGGGGTCTGCATGGCTGTGAATGTACTGGATGCACTGAATTGCTCACTTTGAAACAGCTCATTTCACCTTACAAGAATTTTAACTCAAGGAGTCACGTTAGAAAACAGATGGGGCCCTTTAAAAGTAGAGGCTTCCTTAGGGCCAACCCCATGGCCAAGTATAGGATGGCAGAGGTGGCCTGCCTCCCCCACCTGGTGCAGCCAGGAAGCAGGCCCTCCCCACCCTCCCCTCTTCCTGAGAAACGCACAGAGGACCCAGTACCGACAGCCTTTCTGGTGACTTTTGCAGTGGGTTGAATGGTTCTCTCCACCCAGAACCTGAGAACTTGACCCTATTTGGAAATGGGGTCTTTGGAGTTGCAACTAATTAGGGATCTTGAGATGAAATCATCCTGGGTGGGCTCTAACTGCAGTGATGAATGTTCTTATACCAAAAGGCGAGGATGCAGACACAGGGAAAAGCCGTGTGACAACACAGGCAGAGGCAAGTGCTGTATGACCACAGGCGGGCGACGCGTGACTGGGCACCGCACCATGCCACCATGCCACTCACCATTGTCACTGTTGTCGTCCACCAGGATGACCTCCTTGAGGAGCTGGGAGGGTGTGTGGTTGATCACGCTGTGCACAGAGCGCAGGATGACCGATAGGGCCTCATTGACGAAGATGAAGACCACAGAGACCTGGGGCAGGTCTGGGGAGTACGTCATCTGTCTGCACCTGAAGGACACAGGGTTGTGAGGAGCTCAGGGCTGGGAAGCCTCTGCAGGAGGCCATATACATGGGCCTCGGCCCCACAAGCAACACAAGAAGAGAGCCACATTGTGGATGGCCTAATATCCTAAGAGAAAACAGCACAGTCACTTTAGGAGTCATAATTCCCATGCTTTAAGCCTGAGCCCTCCAAGTCCAGGCTGCAGAAGTGCCAGCTTACAAGCCTCCTCCCTCTCCATGCGTTGGAAAGACTTGGAAGGGAGAGGAAGGGGCCTCGTGGTCCTGTGTGGGCCTGAGCTCACCACTCCTTCCACCTCCCACCCAGCCCCAGCTGTGCCCCAGGCTCTGGGATCTGGTCTTAACTCTAGACAGGTTGCACCAACCATGGGAACCCTGTACCCAGCCATATCCTGTCACCTAAAGTTACATCTAGGTAGATAACGCCCAGGAATGTGGGACCCTGCACCAGCAGGGTGACTGAGGTGGAGAGACATCTTCAAAGGGAAGCCTGGTTCGGGAACCAGCAGCCCTGGGCTCCATTGTACCAGCTTAGGAGCCAGGTGGAGCTGGGCGCAGCTCCCAGGACCACCTCTGCCTAAGGGACCTTCACCGAGCCCCACTAGAAAGTAGGATCTGGGAGAAAGATCTTCTGTCAACTCTTTGTTAGAAGTCAATTCTCTCTGGCCACTTCCAAGGCCACCTTGCCTCTTCTTTGCCCAAACTCTTTCTTAATCAGGACACCACAGTCTTCAAGGCCTCTGCGAGCTGCAGGTCCCAGTGTCCCCTAGAATGCACAAGAATTAAGGCTTCTCTGAGGCCAGCCTGCCTGGGTGCCCAACATCAGCTGTCGAGGTGGTCAGCTCCAAGAGATGTGTCCCCAGGATGATACGACTGCTCTGGTGCCCAGCAGGGGTTGGCTAAACCCAAGTTCCAACCCCCCAACAGCACATGGATGCCCAGGCCTCTGTGGTGGGAGCTGGTCCTGGGCAAGACTACTAGGAGTTGTCCTCCCTCCCAGACAACTCACGACAGGGGCTGGGGTCCTCAGGGAGGAAGGATGTCCTGGACATCTGAGAGCCAAAGGGAAAAGGGATGATCTGCTGTAAGAAGTGGGCTTCTCTCAAAGTCTGAGTATGTTTTCTTCAGCCAAGGTACTTTGGAAATATTGTTGAAATTTTCTGAAGAGCAAAATCTCTCTTTTGAGAAACATTTCCTTAGGATCTCTCAAGAACCATTTCTTTAAACAAAGCTTCAGAGGGAGATTTTTATAGTCCCGAGAAATTCCAGTCTCAGAAATTCCTTTTATTTAGATGAGTCTGACTATTTAACCGTCTATGTCAAAATGTTTCTGGTCACATTGAATTGCATTATATTATTGTTTTTATAGTTATTATTATGATACTAGATACAAGAGCGTGGGCAGTGAGATGGGTCCTTCCCAGGTGTCTTCCATGCTGTGCCACTTGGGGTTGTTTCACCCTGGTGCTCACAGAAACCTGCATGTGGTGACCTGGTTCAGGCAGGTGTTTCTTCTGTCTCCTGGGGACATTTGGGGAAGTGAATCTGCCACCCAGTGCTCAGACCTGAGTCCTGTGGAGTCCACTCCTGGGTCCAAGACGGCAGCTCCAAGTCCAGCCAGCAGGAGATAGACAAGGAAGGAGAAGGTCACATACCATGTCCACCTGCATTCCAGTGGCCAGAGGTGACCACGAGGCCACAGCTCCCTACGAGGGATGCTGGGAAACGGTCTGCATTCAGCTTGAGCCCAGATAAATTTCAGAGTTCTACTAGGGAGAAAGAAAGGCAGAAAAAATAGAAGGGAGGTGATATTCAATCTTTGCCACACACAGACACACAAGGGGTAGGGGCAGGGGAGAGGGGAAGGAAGAGAAGGAGGGAGAGACAGACAGAGATGATTCTTTTTTTTTTTTTTCAGAGACGATTCTCTACTTTGCTTTCTTTTTTTTAACATTTATTATTATGATGATGATTATTATTATTTTGCAGTTTTTGGCCAGAGCTGTGTTTGAACCCGCCACCTCCGGCATATGGGGCCAGTGCCCTACTCCTTTGAGCCACAGGCGCCACCCTCTACCTTGCTTTCGTCTCATGATGCATCCTCTACCTCATTCCTTGTACGTGTACGCTCATCTGCATTTTTATTGTTTGTTTCTCCTGAGTTTCTCTATTTCATTTCTGAATTAATCTTATCAACAGTAAAACTGAGACCTAACAAATACACGAAGTCTCCCTCTGACCTCCACCATCTATCCCTACACCTGTCCCCTAGGCTGACACTGATAGGAGTTTGACAAATGTCCCTGCTGATGTCTCCCTACAAAATGCTGGTGTGGAGGTGCCTTTCCCTTTTCAGACAGATGTGGTATCTCCAGTAGTTGTGACTTTATGACTTGTTGCTTTGACTCAGCGTGATGCCCGGCAACACATTGGCAAAAGGATGACGACTTGAGGACTATTTCAGGTTCCGGCTTGGTCAAGGCCTGGAGTCAACAGGTGCCACTTACTGCCATGCAGAACTCAAAATGAGGCTCCCAAATCAGAAATACCAGGCACGCCGAGGGGCCCCTCTCCTTGTAAGCCCTTCTTGTACCATATGCGTGAGTTATTGTAACAACAACAACAACATAATGCCATTCAGTGTTCTCTGAAGAGCAGCGGTGCATGAAGAGCCCATTGTATTTATCTTCTGAGCCTTGGGGACACCACTGGCTGCTGATGGAACATCAGTCAAATAAGAACTTTCCAGCACACTTCCTCCCCTGGCCTGATGCTGCAAGGATCAGGGTCTGGGGGACAGGCTGGTAGAGGGGAGACGCAACCAAGCCCTGCCCACTGCCACAGCCCCCTCAAATAGCCCGAAAGCAAACTACACAGGCAAGGATTATTATTAATACACGGTGGGGACTCTTACATGGGTTGGACATACTTATTACTGGACTGAGACTTCATTATCTGAAGGAGCGGAACACTGTGACCCAGATCTCATCAGGACTGAGGGAAGAGTGTCCCTTAGGTGGAGCTGAATGTGCAGTGGCGAGGGGGAGGGCAGGGGCAGATAGTTTCGGTTTTCAGGATCATGGTTTCAATAGTCATTGTTGCAAAC